ACCAGTTTACAAGGGCACATTTGAAATTGTATAAAAACAACTGAATGGAGGAGGACAGCGTTCCTTCTCATCCTGAAGACAGGTTGAACGGTTTTGCTGTTGAGGTCAGGGCTTCAGATAGAGATGGAACCCAGAGCTCTGTAAATTGCTTTATTCGATGGTCTGTTTAGTTATGATAATAAATGTTTGAAAATTGATATTCGATTCCGATTATTCTTCATAAAAGAACACGCAGGACAGTGAAAGTCCGACAGTCTGCAGCATGTTCAACTCAAAATAAGATAACCTGAGTCATATGTTAGAGCTATGTGGACACATTTCCCCCTTTCTGCTATGTAACTACTGCTGTCAGTCCACAGACATGTCCTGTGCCTCTGCCTTAAACATTTATTCTCTGCAGCACTGCCAGTTTGCCTTTTGTCAAGGAAGGGGTTCAAGTGTGACATCCAGTGAGTAGTCAGAGCCACTTTCAAATATGACGTTTCATTATGCATGTCAAGCCTCAGGGATTATGAATACTGACACAGTATAACCAGCCAGATGAGCATCCATTGTTCACCTTAGATATTTAATCAAAAAGAGACACCCAGTCCTAACATCAAGCTCTGTCCATCTCTGAGCCTCTCACTAAGTGCACCAATTTACTGTAAGAAAGGAAATTACTTGGGGCACAGCCTAGAATAACAGTTTCATTTTATGTGCTCATACAAAGAGCAATATGTTTGTTCAACATCTTGATCTGTAATTCTTGGAGGTCTCTCAGAGGTCACAGTTTCCTTGCCAGCTTCAGCACAGCCTGTCTGCATTCTTCTGACACATCGCTACATTTCTGGCCGCCACAGAGACACATCTGACTTTTGTGAGGACTAGATGTATGAAAATAACATTAGAAAATATAACTGAACAAATAACTATGCTGTGCTCACGTGTTGACATCAGAATGCATGCCCAAATAGAATAAATTATTGTTAAAACTAAATTTTTTTAAAGTTGTTTTATATGGTTGCACTGCTAGTAACTGTTCCTCAGGCTTGTGAAGAAAGTGAATGGTGCCAGGGAGTGAACAAAGTCTTTCAGTGTGGTTTCTGCATATGATTTCTGCCAGTGTGTGTACAGAGATAATCATTCAGCTGGGTATTCAAAAACTGTTCCTAGGACAGTAAACGGTTTCTCACATTCATTTCTTTAACCTATAATTAGAAGACAAGCTACTGTAAATAATTTTGCCTTCAGGAGTTCTTTAACAGTAAGAAACAACACGTGTTTGACACACAAAATATTTCTCATTACAAGCTGCTCCCAAGGCTGAACAGGCTGTGTACATGTTACATTATTATAAGGTTTGCATTAAAATGTAAACGGAATATGGTGCAATAAGCTGATGAATCATTAAAAACACCAGTGGATTTGATGTTTTCACTAAAGGTTACAGACACCTATGTTGGAAAGTAATGAGCTAACAAATATTAAAATTTTGTATAAAGATTTTTAAGTCATTGAAGACAAGATGTAAACAACCAATGTTGAAGCTTTTGCAAGTTAAAGGTTACTGACATTTTTAAAAAGTAAAAGGTGAGTACAAAAGACTGTAGTAAAAGTGAAACCAAGTCTCTGAACCTGATGACAACCAGATAAAAAAAACTAATATTAAAATGCTGCTTTTAAGGGGCAGGGAGAGGGAGAGAAAGAGAGCAGATGTGGATAGGAGGAGAAGAGAAACATAGTCCTGAAGACAGGAGAACTCAAGTGATGAAAAAGGCTTACAGTACAATGCTATGCAAGGTTGCAGATGCACAGTAAGGAGAAGGAAAGAAGTGGAAACCGAAGGGGGTGTTAAAGGTAGACACACAATAGTAGGAGAGCCTGAGCAAACCTCTGTCTAACTGTAATCTGCAGCTAACACGAAGTGAGAGCCACCATGTTGCACTGGAGGATGGTCACTGTTGGACTTTTCTTCTACTGCATCAAAGTGGGTGTCACACGATCTCAGACCAAAGGTAAGACTTAATATTTTTATGCAGAATGTCAAATAGAAAAGAGTTTTCATTGTAATTGTTCTTTTCAAGAAACAAATAATCTTATCTCAATAATGGGATAACTGTTTTTAAGTGAGAGTCTGGGCTGCAGGAGAATGCTGCAGATGACTTATTCTGAACCTCCTACAGTAAATAAATTCCATTTATCCACACTCCAAGCGTTTGATGGAGCAATGAGTAGCAGAACTGTAATATTAAGCCAGGAAGAGAGTGATCATATTTTATTTTCACAATCTGAAGAATTTACTGGAAATAAATTAAATCAATTCATAAAACTAGAATAACATTATGCGTATGAAAATATACTTATCTGGATTTTTTTTATTATTATTGTTAGTTGGGGGAACTTGCAGTAAACATTCCTGTTCTATTACCTCTGTGGAGGACTAGCATCCTTCAAAACAAGAGTACAATTAGACAAAGCTTTAATAATATCAAAAAGATAATAGAAAATACTCACATTTATGGATTTGATTTAAATATTGAACAGGTTTCAGCACGTTTTACTTCTCTTCTAGCATCAAGAGATGTTATCAGCACCTGCTCCTAATTGGGAAAAATGGCGGCTATGGTCCAAAACTATCAGAGAGAGAAAACTGATATTCCACATATCAATGGAAATCCTACTGCTGAGATATTCAGAGCAGAGTCAGGGAATCCCTCCCTAATGAGGCATTACCTTAGTGTTTTTGGTTCTGTCAAATAAACACTGCAGACAGAACCAGAACCTAAAATGTGCTGATCACTGCGGTACAGCAGTTTTGATGGTTGCAGTTTTTGGTTTTATTTATGGATGCTTCTTCATTGACAGGAAGCCAAAATTAGAAATGAAATCTAAGCAAAAATTAAGAACACATAGTCATAAAAAGTAGAAGTTTAGCCTTTGTCATCCTTTATGTGCAAAATTTCAGCTGATAAACATTTGTATTCTGTGAAGTTCACTAACGTGATGCCGCACAATTTTTTTATATATATATATATCTGACTGCTGAAAATGAAGTCAAGATGCTAAGCACACACGTTGCTTGTCAAAATCATCTGGAAGCTGCTGCGTGATCCATGTGTTACTCCTCCTTTGATTCCTCTGCTGCCTTTGAAGTTTGGGGTCATGTCTCATCACCCACAGGTAAAAGTCATCTGGAAGGTCAGCGATCACAAATTTTCAAATACATACTGTGTAGACAACTGCAGTATGTCTTGGTGTGAGCCAGATGAACCTGGATGTCACATGTGGATGTCAGCACCCAGGAAAACTCAAATGTATTTTATGGCCCCTGACCGTTGTTACTCACTTGCCCCAGGGAATCCACTGTCAAGTCTTTTTGGTCCACCATAGTAAAACAGAAGACAAACATTGAATGAACCTGTTTTGGTTTCTCCTTGCTTTTCTGCCACAGCTCATTTTCATTGTCTTTACCTTCTAGCCCTGTTCCCAGCTACAAGCAGAATAAAAAGAGGGGTAGCAACTGCAGTGAACCCCACTTTTCACAACTCCTTCAATGATGCTCTTCTACTATTTGAGGTAAGACAAATATATCCATAACTGTCAACATTTTTGTATCGTTTTTAATTGTAAAACCAGCAAAACCTCAAGGAAAAACCGACACCACCTCTTTTCATTTTATTGCATAGATCCTTCTGGGTGGCGTAGATTTTGAGGCCAGTGGAAAGTTTTCGGTGAAAGATGCTGAGCTGGCCTCCCTGCGCAAGACAAGAAACCTGGAGGCCATCTGTGAGGTCATTCCCAGGAAGATAACAGACATTTTTAAGCTCATCTCTGACCTTTCAAATCACACTGGTCATCTGCATCAGGAAGATTTTGAGCGTACCTTGCTGACCTTGGTATACATCACCCAGAAGATGGTCCGTTCCGCTACTGAACACCAAAGACATGTCTGGGCACAGTCTTTTCTAGGTATATACAAAGCCATCAAGCAGGATCTGATGGATACAAACTGAATTAACACAGGTGCTGCTACACAGTGGCTCCATGGTGGGATTTAGTATGGATATAGGAAAAAATCCTTTTTTGGAAAAAATATCAATTGAGTGGGCATAGCCCTGGCTTGTAGACTGAATAATGTCTCCTATGTACTTTCAGGCTATAACCTGCTATAAACTGTCACCACAAATAGAAGGTGTTTAGCCAGATAATAAAACAAGAGCACAGAGAGAGCACATGTACATCTACCCAGGCACAACATTCACTCACACAAATGGGTCGCTTGTGAAAAATGATATCCAGAACAACACGAAATATGTCCTAAAATCCTTGATTCAGACTGGATCCAGATCATCTTTTAGGTTATGATAGGCAGTTATACTGTGCATCTTGCCCACAACATTATAGAGTTCTACTTTCATCATAGGCCAAGTTATGGCAGAAAATATACATTAAATGGGGTTGTCAATGTTAACTTTAAATGGTTGTCAGATCCGAAATCCAGACCATATCCAAAGAAAGAATTATTTTGATAACTTTTAACAGTGACCCCTTGTGTCCTGTGGATGGCAGCACTGTCATCCTAGAAGAGACCACTCATTCATTTAAGTTTTTCCTTTAATTTGTCACCTGTCTGTATATGCAGCATTAAAAATCATGGATCCACTTAAAAGCTCATGACTTTGTGATGCTTTTTCACCAGCACCTGGGTGTGATTGCATTTTAAAACTGATTGGATCAGCAAAAAACTACACAATTAAGCTCTGAACAAAATAAATAACTGTTTATACTGGGTGTTAGGCTCTGTGAAAAGAGTATAGAAAAATTATTAACTTTAGTAGCTAAAGGAAGCCCATATATTAACCAGTTTTATGCAAGATGTCATTTGCAAGGTCACTCCAAAAGTCACGTGAAATACTTTGCACAGTGTTGTTACAGTACAGCATCTTTAACAGAGGACACAAAGTTCAAGTTGAGCTGCCTCTGACAGTTTTTGGAAAATCCTCCAAATGGTATGCTGGAACACAACTCATAGAGCTGATCCAACAGTGGCCTGTGCAGGCTCTGAATGTCCCAGCGGTTGCTTAGGCTCCAAAGAATTAGGATCTGCTCTGCCTCCATGCACAGAACTAGGCACACCAGGAGGGCAGAATGGTACGTACTGGAGCCAGGAAGAAGAAGAAAAGTAAGAGCTGATGCCAAAGGGAAGATTGTAGACTTCTCCACTCTCCAGCGTGTTGCTTGAGTCATCCTCATGAGCCCTGTTCCAGGCGAGGATGCCTCGTTCATGCTTTGAACCTATTGGACACATGTTAAATGAGTTAAACCATACTAGTATACTAGCGCTGTTTAAGTTATTCTCTGACTTAGCTTGCTTGTTTGTTTTCCATAAAGATTGGGAATGCTGTATCGTATTCCACAGCTATTTTCATCTGGAGATAATGTTCCTTTCTCGTTACACTTCTACTGTTACTTTTCCAAAACAGTCATGTCCTCTATTTGATTTTCTACGCTATGTGGAATTTTCCATAGTCCTTTTTCTACAGTCTAATGTTGACATATAACTATCAGATGTCAGATAATGGTTCTTCTCATTGTAATAATTAGCCTACAAACAGCAGTCAGTCACTGACCCGTCAGTAGTTTTCCCTGTGTTGTCTCACTTGATATTTCTGCTAGACCTTTGGTCATATGACTGTACTGAGATTACTTTTTACAGTATTTTTATAATCTGATTTTCTATGTTGATGAAAGTATCGATTACTTACAAAATGCAATTTAAACACAGTAATACTAATAAAATAAATACATTAATAGTTTAATTAAATGGAAGACCTGGAATGGTGTTATCCAGTATGAAGCCAAAGAAACCTCCCACAAACATGCTGGTTGTCAAAAGTACTTGCAGAACCTTATTGAGTTCTGCCACACCTGAATGCAACACAAGGAAAACAGTTAAACATTTGTTCCAATATTCAGAAAATAGCATAATAATATTGTGCATTTTATGAACCTGTAAGGATTATACATATAGTGAGATTTTATCCATGCACCTGTAACAACAGCTTTGGGGTTCTTTAATATCCAGTTAGGAATGACAAGACCAGAAAACATGGAGAATCCAAAGATGAAGATGTTTCGAGATGAATTCATATCTGCATACTGAAAATGTAAAGGAAAATAAAGAGTGAACATATGAGACAATTACTTCAGTACAAAATTCATATAAATGTAAATATATAAATAAAGTTCGCCAAAACACGTTTAGGTTTTGCGGCTTGTATACCTGTAGATTGGACACTCCTGCTGCAGAAATGACACCAAACATAACCAACAACATCCCTCCAATTACAGGGGATGGGATAGTTGTGAATATAGCACCCACTTTACCAAACACACCCATCACAACCATCAAGACTCCACTGGCTACTATCACCATGCGACTGCCAACCTGTAAACACAAGCAAACAACAGCAACATAAAGAAAAGCTAACCCTCCTTTTAGCCTAAAGCTAAATAAAAAGGCTTATCTTACCTTTGTAATACCCAGAGCTCCAACATTCTCACTGTATGAGGTGGTACCATTTCCTGTACCCCAGGCTCCAGCCAGCAAACAGCCTAGTCCCTCAATACCAATGCCCCTGTTTATGGCATGTTTAGGGGGAGGCGGAGCACCAGATAGCCTGGCGCATGCATGGTAGTCCCCAACAGACTCTATCATGGAGGAAATCACACCAGCAAAGATGCCCACCACACCTGCCAGGCTCACTGTTGGCATCCCCCACTGACCTGAGTGTAAATTCAAACATAAGGGAGCAGATAAAGACACTGTATATAAACTTGTAATCCCCTTTTTGATTAAATGCTTACTAAAAAGCCTCTTACCTGGGTATGGGAAACTGAACCAGGGAGCTTGGCCCATAATATCTCCCTTTAGATCAGTGCGGGCCAGGTAACCATACTGGTCCGGTTC